TATATCTCTCTCAGCCTCTCTTTGTATTTAATTCAAATAAATTGTTGAATTAAATATATATTCCAGCAAATTACAAATATGGTGTGACCAGCTGCGTTTAGAATTTTAGAATTTAAAAAATACAATTAGCTAAGCTAGCAATATTTTGCTGGTTGATTTTAATTTAGTATTTAATAATGGTTTTATATTATTATATATTTATATGCAACGGTAAATTGTCAAAAAAAAGATGGTTTTAATTCCATTTAATAATATTCGTTCGAGGGATCGCACAATTTGATTGCCTGTTAACCATAATAAATAGTTTAAACCATTTCCATGCCCATTCAGATATACTTTGTTCCCCTCGAAAATGCTTATTTGGAGTTTTCTTTGTACTTAGCTTGAATGGGATCTCTATATTTGGTATTAACTAGTTAGAAATAATCAATTATAATCTTTTCTGACTCACCTTTGATCCTGTAGCAACTGCTCAGCCTGAGCTAGACGCAGTCGCACCGTCTTCATGCTCTGTATGGGAAACAGGCGGCAGAAGGGCGTCAAAAAGGCGGGACGCCAACAGAAACGCGGATATTCGCGGCAGACTTCCCATAGCCGCTGATTGTGCTCGAATAGATACGTGTGCGTCTTGCCGTATTCCAGATAATCGGACATATCGCCATAATCACAATTGAGCAGATTCTTTAGATTTTGCACGGCCAACTGTTGATCCTCAGGATCACGCACCTGCTTAATGCCAAAATCCAACAGCGGCTCATAGTGATAATAATTGCCGGGCATGGCATTCAAAATATCACCCAAAAATGTGGAACCCGAACGCCAACTGGTCACGACAATGCTGCGCACGGGCGTGCCCATGGTCTCGGGCGTCATATCGTTAAGTTTCTCAGCGCCGCCGCGCGGATACTCAAAGTTCTCCATTTCATTGAGAATGCGCGCACGCTGCGCCGCCAGGACATCCACTATGGTCGCTGTCATATTGTAAATGGTGGCGGCAGTTTGTGATGGCTGCTGCTGGCGCTCGTAATAGCCGCCACCGACGCCATTTCGTGGCAGCAGATTCGAGGCGAGAGCAGCGCTGCTGCTGCTGCTGCCACTGCTGGCGCCGCTGCTGCCACTGCTGAAGGGTGAGGTCAGCGGGCGGTGCTGTGTGGTGGCAATCAGCAGCAGTATGCACAAACTGCTAACGCCACAGATGCCAATGAGATTTGCGCGTCGGGACATGCGGCTGCGTCGACGCTTTGAATTTAAGCTGATGCGCTGCTTAGTGCGTGTCCTGACAGTGGCGGGGGCGTTGCTAGAGCAGGCGGTGGCTGTGGAGTCGGCGGCGGCGGCGGCGGCAGTTTCGACAGTATCGCCGGTCAGTAGCGCGCAGGACTCCAGATCCAGATCCGTTGTGCTCATTTGGTATTGCAGAGTTAGCTTAACTTAATTGTGAACACACACTTTAACACTTAAATAATATATTGGAAACTGATTTGCTTAAACTTTAGCCTAAGCACTTTTGTTTACATATTCACACATAAACAAAACACGAACGCACACACGCACACACACTCGCACAACGTTAAACTTACGGCGCAGCAGCAGCAGTATATCACATTTTAAAACGTGCCAAACATTGCAATTTACTGTTAAAATTCTAATTTCTTTTATTTCGTATTATTTTTAATCTTTGCTCTTTCTTATGCGACCGATTGCTAATTGTAACTGTTGTTGCGACGCCTGGCGAGCTTTCCGAGAGCAGCGAAAACAGAATGAACAGCTGTGGGGCCAAAGTGCGGCCGCACAGCATGTAGCGACAAAATACACATAAAATGGCGCTAAAAAAATACCAACAAAAAATCTACTAGTTATAACAGAGGAAAGCTGTTTGGCCGTTATTGTTGGCGGCATCACATTTGTTATCGATGAATTTACAAATTTACAAATTTATAGACAATACTTGAAATTTTAGCTATTAGCACTGCATATCTACTTCAAAAAAAGTGGCAAATTTTTCAACGGCTTATAGGAAAGCTTCTGTTCTTTTTCATTATCTGTAATGGGATAATAGCCCCATAGTTTCATGGCCCTTTTGCAAGTCTCTTGGATATTCATGATTTCCTCGATCGACAATATATTTTGCCATTGCGTAGGCTTTTCGAAATACATATTATTTGATTCATTCGCTTCAGTACCATTCTCTTTCGATTTCTGTACATCATTTTCAGATTCGGTTGGCAGGCCATAGAAATCGAAGATAGCTTTCAATCCAATCGTTGGATTGAGCGCTAATTCCTCATAGCGCACAATTCTAAACGAAATACAAATAAGGCTATGAATTTCATTTAGATCTAAATTATAGTATGTAATCGAAACGAACCCAAAACGTTGCGGATGTTTTCTTAAAAGGATCTCAGCGATGTCATAATCAACGGCCATATTTGAGCACAGGTCGTTCGGCCGGAAGCACTCCGGATTGCTGCACCAAAGCCGATTCAAACGCGAGGCCATTGTGGCACGCGGATCTCGGACCAGCAGAAGTATACGAACATTTAGACTACGAAATATATTTTATATAAATTGAGCGATATATATTTAGTAGAATCAAGCGCTTTAGATACTCACTCTTTGCGTTCCAGCAGTGCCATTAAAAACTTGAGGCCCAAGTTATATACGGACATGTTAAGGAACGGAAATAACTTGCATATTTGCGACAAGGTTTCCGGCTTAGAGCACACCTCCGTTGTATAGGTTACGCACGTCTTCCACTGCACCCCATAAAAGTTACGAAATGTGGGCGTTTGCATGCCGTAGTTGAGCATGGTCAAAGATTTATTGTAGTCGCAGTTGAAGAGCGAAGTCAGTTCATCCAATGCATGATCAATCTTGGCTAGATCCGTGATCCGATGCTTGTACGCGATCAGGGGTGAGAAGTGATGATAGCAGCCCGGCTGCCGGGATAAATATTCCAGCAAACCGATTGCTCCCGAGCCACGAAATGTGACCAATATCGAACGCTTCGGCTGACCACCGGCCTCCAGGGTTATGTTCGTCAGATTGCCCAAGTGACGGGTCTGCTGGGCGAGTAAGTTGCGCGACAGGGTAACCGGATCGGGCAATAGCATTGGTAATATGAAGAAAACAAATAGCGCATATACCAAATAAATGGCAATGCAAATGCCGGTGAATTTCGTGCTTCGCTGTACCATAATGTTCAAAAACTACGATTACATAAATTTTTATTTTTCTTTTTTCTCCAAATAACGATTAATTTTGGTGAATGTGTTCAAAAGGATAACTGACATACTATGTAAGCCTCTCTGTAGGCTACTTTGTGTCGTATAATTTTTACATTATAGAAACTTTTTACCAACCGTTCAATTCCTCGGTATGATATTTTTTAAAACTGTATTATATTATATCTTTCGGTCTTTCGGAAATTAGTATTTTATTAAGTCTTATGAATACATATTGAATATATGTAATATATTCGTCAATGTTTCAATTACCTTTAAAATTAAAGTTTTCATCAGATTTTAAGTTTAAAATTAGCGCAAAATTTATTTATAACATGCCAAATTTGATAGACAGATTTTATGTTTAAATATGTATATTATATTATTATTTATTCAGTAAGTTTATAGTATATTTAGTAGAGTATTCGTAAAATACTAATATTGCTATAAATTAATACGTAAATTTTTTATTTTAACAATTAATATTCTTACAAAAACTTTTCAATATGCTTTATTGCGAGATTTTTGCTGAAACCAATAGAAACAAAGACTAGAAAGTGGCCCAAAATTTTAATTTTATCGGATAGAGGCACAAATGTACGTATTTTATTTTGAATTCAGTTCCCTTAGAAAAAAACAAATTATACTCGGCAAAAACTCGCAATTTTTAAAGCACATCGAAATTTATGTTGGAGTCAATCTCATAAAAGTTGTTTGATTTTTCTGGCACTATATATATTTATATATTCAATAACCTGTATCGCATAAAGTAGAATTTATATGTAAGTATATGTAAGTAAGTATATCTGGTATAAAAGTCATTTTGGGGCTGTGCATTTACTTAGTGCAAGGCAATGGGTTAAGGAGATCTCGATATAACCATATAAGTCGGGTATATAGTGAATGGAATATGCATTAAAAGCTAGCATGCGGCGAAATGTTGGCGAAGTTCAAGATTTGAATGAGTATAAGTTCTATTGGCTTGTTCCCAATCAATCATGATTCTGTTTTGTCTACCCAATATAGATATATTTAAAAATATAACTTCGATTAACCGAAGGTAGCCTTCTGTTTAATTGTGTTCAACTATTTAGAATATGATAACTATTTGTATATCTGATAAACTGATTTGGAAGAACAGACAACTATGATCAAGAATCGATGAAAATTGGGCTCATCTCGTTTAAATACTTCAGTTATTTATTTACAGCGGGTATCTGTCTATTATTTTTAAAGATTTTCTGTCGGCAAGGTCGGACCAACTGGTCGTAAGCATAACATATAAGATAAATCCCCTCAACGTCGGACTATATAATCTATCAATAAGTACAACAGGCCGTAAATTGAGTTATTGTAAGTGAATAAATATATCGCAATATATTCTTATATATGTCCGCAAGGGTATTTAAGCTTGTATTATTTTCTTGTTTCTTTTTTGGGCATTTGAAGATTATGAATACAATCTACATAGGCCTTTAAAATGACTAAGGAACCAAATTAAAAAAATGTCAGCAAATGAAATGCATATAAATCGTTGCACAAGATCAACTTTGTGAGACTTAAAAAGAGATATATAATATATCTAATAATATATCTAATATATAATCTGCGTTTATGCTTGCTCAATTTGAAATTAAAATACAATTAAGAGTTAAATTTCATCAATGATTAATTCAACAAAGATTAATAAAGTAAACTTGATTTCTTAATAAATTATAAATCTAGTTATTTCATTTTTACAAAAAACGTTTAGTTTTATTTTAAGTAATATTGATGGAATGGAAGAACTAATTTGAAAATGAAGTTTAATAAAAATGTTTGCAGAATATTTTAAGACAAATTAAGCTATCATAAACGCATCTTTAAACTTAATTTATGAATTATGAATAAATAGGTAATACCACAAACTGCCAGCGAACTATATCGAATTATTTGTTTCCCTATTTATATATCTCCAGCTCAATCGCTATTTCCCTCAGTTTCATCGTCCAGCAGTAAACTTGTCGAGCCATAGCTACGGAGTCTGCAAGAAGAGTGCCACAATTAATGGTTAAATATAATAAATACGAAAGCAAATACTAAGGGGAAAATGAAAACCAAACCAAAGTTAGTAATAAGCCAGGTTAGAGCTCACCTCATCGTCGGATACCTTGAGACCATCTAAATTAATACTATTGCGCGCATAGCCCGCATGCGTCTGTTCCTTGTCGTGCGGCTCGTACAGCTGCCTATTGATGTCCATATCCTTGTTGGATGTGGCGCCACTGTTGGTCATGCATTTCAGTGGCAGGGCGAGATTCGCGCGATTGCCCCCGCTGCCGCTGCCGCTGCCGCAGTTGCTGCCGGCGCTGTTGTAACGTCCCGCTGCGCTGCGCTGCTGTTGCCTCAGATGATGCTGCTGCTGCTGATGATGATGATGCTGTCCATGTGGATTATCGAACTTTTGCTTGGCACGCTCAAATTCCAAGTTGCGCGATTTGGCCTCGAAGATGTTTTCCTCGAAATGTGTTGTCTTGGCATCGTAAAAACCCGCAGCCGCCGCTGCTGCTGCTGCTGCTGTTGCCGCTGCAGCAGCTGCTGCATTGCTTTGCTGTTGCTGCAACAGAGTACGCTCCGTGTGGCTGGAGCGCTTCACGGCGGCGGCATGATGAGCCGCTGCTGCCGCTGTATCGCAGCCATTGTGCGAGCTGCGCAGGCCCGCCTGGGTGTCATCAAAGATCTGGCGCAGATCGTTTATATTTGGCAAACACTCGCTGGGCAGCTCCACGGCAATTTTGTTGCGCAACTGAACGCCGCCCATGCCACGCAGCTGGGGACTTGGTGCGCGTCTTAATTTATTTTTAGTGTTTAGTTGGATTAGTTGTGGGGATTTAACCAGCACCATGATATGTTAGTTGGGCAGTTAGTTGCAATGGGTTTCCCTATCAAGATGACAGCTCACCTGTTCTGCAAATGTTGTATCTGCACCTGCAGACCCTCCGTCTGGCCCACCAGCTCGTCGTTGCTGCGCTGCAGCCGCCGCACTTGGTTAACGGCCGAGTCCAGCTCATCCTCGGCGCCGGCCAGTTCGCGTTTCAGCTCCTCAACGCGCTGCCGTAGACGCTTTACCTGCAAACATCAAATTAGACACAATAAACACATCCTTAAATTACTAGATCTATCCAATATTGGTGACACTAGCTTTTAAAGCCTTTTAGATAAAACAGGTCAAAAATCTATATTTTATATTTTCTATATTTTAAATATAATTTAATAGGCAAATATAGGAGCCAAAAATAAACTCAATATATTTAAAAACAGTGTTAAGAAAAGTTTTTATAAGTATTTCAGCATTGATAATTGAGCTACTAATTTCTCTACAAAAAAAAAAAAAAAAATTTTCTCTTTTTGCAAAAAGTTTAATGATTCCTTTTAAATATTATATTATCAATATAGAAAGATACAGTTACTAGTCAAATGATTCCTTTTAGGTCGAAGATCTCGAATTTTCTGATCTCTGATCCTAATTCTTAGCCAGGATTCTTTGACTAATAACAGTCTATCTAAATACTTGTTTTCTTAAGATACTATTGCAAAATTGATTAACATACAAATTAAATTTGTTTAATTGCAATTTTCTTTAACATATTTCGTAAACTTAAAGCTTAAATATGTTTCTTTGTATATTTTATGCAGTAATTAAATAATAACATTTTAAGTAAATTTTACAAAAAATCCAACTTATATCAATATACTTTTATTTTCAATTATTATCAGCGATGTTTAATCAAATTGTTAAGACAATGCGAATGAGATTAGCACCAGCAGGGGGCAAGAATAACAACAACAAAGCAGCGGCAGATTGAGAGAGCGAGAGAGAGAGAGTGCTTAGGCAGGCAGCCAGAAGTCCAGCAATAACAGCCAATTGCCAGCTGGTAGTTTTTATTCAGCACAAAGCTTTTTTCAGTCTCTCTTCAGAATTCGAGCGCGTAAGTTGAACGTGCGGTGGAGAGCAAGTGCAGCCGGCCAGCGAAATTTCATAATTAAGGCAAGCGAAGAAAACAACAAAGACAGGCAAAAAAAAAATGATTGCGCAAAGTATAATCAGCAAACTGCGTCCGTGCGGCATCCGTCGCCTGGCGAGCACCAAGGCGAGCAGTGCACCCAAATTTAATTGGCAGGATCCGCTCAATTTGGAGAGTCAGCTAACGGAGGATGAGGTGGCCGTTCGCGATACATTCCGCGGCTATTGCCAGTCACAGCTGCTGCCGCGCGTCACGCTGGCAAATCGATTGGAGCAATTCGATAAGAAGATCATGGAGGAGATTGGCAGCCTCGGCGTACTGGGCTGCACACTGGAGGGCTATGGCTGTGCCGGCGTCTCCAATGTTGCATACGGTCTGCTCACGCGCGAGGTGGAACGCGTCGATTCCGCCTATCGTTCCGCGGTGAGCGTGCAAAGCTCCCTGGCAATGGGCGCCATCTATGATTATGGTTCCGATGAGCAGAAGCAAAAATATTTGCCAAGCATGGCGCAGGGCAAGCTGATAGGTAAGAGAACGTTTCCAAAAAATATGTACACACTGTACATACATATTTACAAGCTACATTCATCTCCATAAACTGTCCATCGCGATCACCTGTTTTTTTTTTATTTTAAGCATACATTTTAAAGATTTGCTGTTTATCAGCATTGATAAGATTGAGATTAAACAGAGGGAGGTGGAGGCAATGGGATAGTGGGGGGCCCATAACAACAAACTGAAGTAAACAAGTTGAACGCGTGTGTAGTGCAAAGAGAGGGGGTGAAGAATTCAATGACAGCAGATGACAGCAAACAACTCTGTGTTAGCTTTGGAAAAAGCTCTCTCACTCTCTCTTACTCTCTTGTGTGTTTGTGTGATAAGTGAGCGGAAAAAAACCAAAAGAGAGAATTGCAAACACAAACAAAAAATTGATCAGCAACGTCGAAGCTTAAATACTCTGTGATATCTATGTTTAGAAAGTGAAAATTTTGGAATTGATAATTCGCTGGTCGCTCGCTTGTTTTTTAGAGCTCGTTTTGTAACAAATAAAATAAATGAAAATAAAATATTTTTAGGTAATAGACTTGAAAAATTAAGCTCAGGCAATCATTTACATAAATGTAACAAAAAAGTATAATATCTTTGGCACGCCGAATATGTAATACCCTTGTATACAATCAAAGCTCGTAAATGCTGAGTTAGATAAAAATAGCTTGGAAAACAGAATATTTCGCCACACAATAGCTTATTTTTCGACCGATTTCTCCTATAAATATTAATAATATAGTACTGCGATTGTGATTAGAATTGGCACATACATAAACAGCATAGTTTAAATAGAAAATGTGGGTGTTGGCGAAGATATCTTGTTAAACAAAAAAGTTATTTCTACAAGAACTTCATTACAAAATTATAATTCACTCTACAAGGGTATAAAATGAATTGAAAAAGGTTTCCTCAGCAAGTTTTAAGGGAATTTATATTTTAAAACCAATTTCTCAAAATATGTTTAACTAATATTCCATTTCAAATCAATAAACCTTCAGGTGCTTTTGGTCTCACCGAACCGAACCATGGTAGCGATCCGGCTGGCATGGAAACCCGCGCTAAATACGACAGCAAAACTAAAACCTACATACTGAATGGGTCGAAGACGTGGATAACGAGTGCGCCCATTGCCGATGTGATAATCGTGTGGGCCAAGTGCGAGGATGGTAAGCTGCGCGGCTTTATTATCGATCGGAAATTGTCTGGCAAGGGCCTGGACACGCCCAAGATTGAAGGCAAGTTCTCGCTGCGTGCCTCGCCCACGGGCATGATAATGATGGATGATGTACACGTGCCCGAGGACCTGCTGCTGCCCAACGCCGTTGGCTTTAGCGCACCGTTCAATTGCCTGAACAACGCTCGTTATGGCATTGCCTGGGGGGCACTGGGTGCAGCGGAGGCCTGTGTGGAAACGGCGCGTCAATATACGCTGGATCGCAAGCAATTTGGACGACCACTGGCCGCCAATCAGCTGATCCAAAAGAAACTGGCTGATGCCACAACGGAAATAGCGCTCGGTCTGCAGGCGTGCCTGCATGTGGGTCGCCTCAAGGACCGCAAACTCCATACGCCCGAGATGATCTCGCTGCTAAAGCGCAACAATGCCGGCAAAGCGCTGGACATAGCGCGTCATATGCGCGACATGCTCGGCGGCAACGGCATCAGCGATGAGTACCATGTGATCCGGCATGTCATGAATCTGGAATCGGTGAACACCTATGAGGGCACTCATGATATTCACGCCCTGATCCTTGGACGTGCCATTACCGGCTTGGCGGCGTTTGCCAATTAAAGCTAACTCGGGCATTTATCTATGTTTCTAGTTTATAAATTTAGCTAGGCAAACAAAATAAAAGCAATATTCAATTCGTTATTTGCCAAGAGATGTTAACACTTTCCTAGTATTAAATCGAATTTTATATTAAAGAACAAACGGATGCAACCGAAACAAATACTAACTCGAAAACTCTAACCCAGGCAAGTGTCTTACGCTTCCAGCTGCATTTAGACGGACAAAGCTTTCGAAACAGACAATAAACTCGTTTATTATTGAGCAATACTTGTATTTTAAGGAGTCGAAGATGCCTTTCCTAGTGCGATAGAAATTTCCTGAAATCGGCTGAGATGTTAATTAAATGAACTACTTTGACGAAACTCTTTAAATTGAAAAAAAAAAGATTTGTTTCACTCTTCCAATTGAAGCTTCCATAGAACATGGCGGGCTTAACTAAGGAGAATCGATGTAAACATTTTGCTAACTTAACTTACCTCCGCTTCATATTGCTCCGCACGTCGCACCGCATGCCCCAGTTCCGTGTTGGTCTCGGCGAGTAACTTCTTTAATTTGGCATGCGACATTTTGACCTCGCTGATTTCCTTGTTGCGCTCCGAAAGCTCCTGCTGCAGCGCTCGTAACTCTACGTCGTTGGCCTGCATGGGTCGGCATTTGCGATCCGAGCGCTCCTGATAATCACGCAGTTCGGCGCGCAGTTTTTTATTATCCCGCTCCAGCGCCAGCTTTTCGGATTCCAAGCGCTCGCGCTTACCCCACTCCGATGCGTTTTCAGCCTGCAAATGCTCGAGCTCTGTGCGCAGCTCGCTGAGTCTGGAAAAGTAAAATGATTAACCAAGTGTTTAAGAGCTTGCCCGAAAGTTAAGCCATACCGACGTTCCAGATTCTCGCGTGCAGCAATTTCCTCTTGCAATGAGTTGTTCACAATGCGCATCTCGGCGCGATGTTGTTCCTGAATAGAAAAAAAAATATTAATTGCTTATTTCTTTATATGTCGATTGCATTTTTCGTAAGATCTTTGATACCAAATTTAAATTTTTACCACTCAGAACAAATATTTTATATATATATCGCTAGATTGGCCAGTTCAAATTAACTTACTTACCTGCAATGTTAGAAGCTCACGCACCGCTTCTTGCTTTGCAGAGCGCAACTCATCCTGTCGTCCACGCACATCCTGCAGTTCCAGCGCCAGTTTCTCTATGCTCTTGTGCAGCTCGTGCTTTTCACTGTAATCGAAAAATGTAGTTTCAATTAATAAATTCTTAGCTACTAATATGACCTGCTTTTCTAAACGTACTCTCGCTCTGCCTGCAGCGTTTTTTGCGCCTCATCTAACCGCAGCTGCAGCATGGATATCTTTTGCAGCAAATAATCTTCGTCGAAGTCGTCTTTGGACAGCTGTTGTATTAGGCGTTTTTCCTCAGCGGCAGCAGCTTCCAAGTCGCTCAAATGCTTGGGCATAGCGCCCTTCAACGCAAATTCCTCAATATCCAGATCCTTGACATCGTTGGGCAGCTTGGTGACCAAACCATCCTCACTGTTCACGTTTTTTAAGCCATCTGATGATATATCTGGCGAACAATTGGCATCACGTCCATTCGCCTCGGCGTCCTCGTTTGTGTCGGTGCGATTGAATTGTCCAGCATGTTTCATCATCAGGGAATGTACTTTTTCCATTTCCTTCTTCAACTGTGTAATCTGCACCTCCAGATCATTTTTCTCACGCTTTAGTGAATGTGCCTCCTTCATGGCTACGTCCAGTTTAAGATTCAACTGTTTGGATTCCTCTCGCGCTTTATTGCGTTCGTTGCGCACCTGCAAAATAATATTTTGTGTGATTAAACAACCAACCATATTGATACAACGGGCACCATGGCAACCTCACCTTACTCCATTTTTCGCGCCAGTTGGCAGTGCAATCGGACCTGTGGGAAGGTAATATAGTATATTAATTAGCAAGAAAGAACAGTAGTCTCCGGGGTGCCGAAGATTTAATACTCTTTTCCACATATCTTTACCATTGCAGCTACATGGTATAGTTTGCTGGCTGACTTTGACCTGACAGTATTTTAACAGACAATTGCAACTAAATATACTTGGCGTTGCTAATGTATCATTCTAGCTTGATATATATATGTTGAGAAAATTATAATACCCTTTGCAAGAGTACATCTACCGGCACATCTTCCACCTATCTTTACTTACCACCACTTCATTGTCTTTTCCATTTGGGCGGCTCTCGCGCGCGCTTCGTGCAATTCCCGTTGGCGCTGCGACTGTTGATTATACGGCATTTATGTATATATTCATGCATATATATTTTCTTATTTTTCTTTAGCTTACCTCGCGCGCCTCCCATTCGGTTTCACCATAGCCAACGCCACCGACACCCACGCAGACGCCTGCATCGTTGTTGGGCACACGTCTGCTGCCCGCTTGGGCGGCAGCGGCACTTTGCGTCGTCGACGACGTCACTTGGGACATTTTACAGCACTTAATTCAATATTTTAATATGTATTTATCAGTTTTACTTGTTTTAATTAAACTGCATTTTGCTTTATGCACTTTTTTACAATGTTGTATACAGAAAATAAGGAAAACAGCTGATTGTACGGTGTTACCAAAAATCATTTGGTATTTTCTAAAAGAGTATTTGCAGTGATTGTTGCAAGGTGTGAAACAGTATATTGATAATGCTAAAACCTATTTGGCGCGATAATTACATATAAAAACAAATATTCCATTGTTGAATAATCTTACGCCTGTTTTCCATGCCAGAATTTGTTGTGTGTACAAAAAACGAGTGCAGCAAAAACACGTTGATGTAATGTCGTGTCGTTCGCTTAGGTTATATTTTCTAACTGCCAGACGGTCACACTGCCATCAACACGAAAAGCAGCTATTATCTTGGTAAACGCAGATTTGTTATTTAGCTTGAATATACATTAAATAGTACTATTTAAACATGGCAAAGCATCATCCCGATTTGATTTTCTGCCGCAAGCAACCCGGCGTGGGTAAGTCGCACAACATGCAGCTATTTTGTGTGTAACAATGTATGTTAATGTTTTGGTTTTCACGTGCAGCCATTGGCCGGCTCTGTGAAAAGGATGATGGAAAATGTGTAATTTGTGACTCGTACGTGCGCCCCTGCACCTTGGTGCGCATCTGTGATGAGTGCAACTATGGCTCGTATCAGGGACGTTGTGTTATTTGCGGCGGACCCGGCGTCTCCGATGCCTACTACTGCAAATCCTGCACCATACAGGAGAAGGATGTGAGTAGAAACATATAAATACATTTGCCCTGGATTTCAAAATAAAAATTTAAAATGTTCACTCACAGCGCGATGGTTGCCCCAAGATTGTCAATCTGGGCAGCTCAAAGACAGATTTGTTCTATGAGCGTAAAAAATATGGTTTCAAACAAAAGTAAGTTGCAAGGCCACCAATCAAAATGATCCACAATTTAACCGAATTTTTTCAACCCCCAGCTATTAGAGTACTGAAGACTAGCTTATATATATCTCTAATAAATTTGTAATGTAATTTAATGCATATACATATAAAGTTTTATACATGAATGTAATATTTTGGAAATGATTTTATTTAGACTGTAAGCAGCTGCTCGCTGCTCGGCTCATACTCCAAGCAGAGCCTGTCGAATTCGGCGGATTTCTTGTCCAGATCGATGACGAAATCGCTCTTTGGATAGAATTGTCTCAGCTGCTCCCAGTAGCGTGTAATCGTTTCCGTTGATTTGCCCGTCAAGTGCGAGAGTACCATCATGTTGATTAGGGTATCGTAATCATTATGCTTTTTGGTAAGCGACTCACGCAGCACAGCTTCGGCCTCTTCGTAACGTTCCAGGCCCAAGTGCACCACTGCCTGACCATTGAGTAGCGCCGGGGTGGGCTTAAACTTTTCACAGAACTCTTGATAGATATGGAATGCATCCTGCATCTGTTCGGTACCCTGTGCCAGCGCAACCCATGCCTGTGCCAGCTGTGTTAGTGTCGCATCATCGCTGATCTCCTGCATTTTGGCCACCAACTGCTTGGCCAGATCCACACGCTGCAAGCGCAACAGACATTGAACCGACAATGCCATTGATTCGAGATTATTGGAGCCATGCAATATCTTCAGAGCATTCTCAAACTGTCCATCGTAGCAGTAGACAATGGCTGTGGCGATGTGCCAAATGTTCGTCTCATCCTCGTCGCTGGCCACCTTGTCGGTGAGCTTCTCCAACAGCTCCTCGGTGCGTGACGGCTGCTCGAAGGCTTCGTGCACCAGACGCAGCGCTAGCAGCGGTGTCGTGGTATTCTCCTTGATGTCCGAGGCTATAATGCGACCCGAATCGATGGCCAAATATGACAAATACATGTAAGACAACAGTTCGGCACCTGCCGTGCCCTGCTCCGGCAGCACAAAGTTTATGGAGCCCATGAAATTGCCAATGTAATACTCATTGCGTGCATCGAACAGCGCCGAGTTGACGTCCTCATCGTTTTGTTGTGATCTGCTCATTATTAATAACAAATTTGTAATGTTTTACTGACAAAATAAATTATAAACTGGAAGCTGAGTTGGCTTTTCAGTTGCAGTGCTGCCACCTTGTTGAAAAATGCTGCCAGCTGCTTGGACGAAAATATGGTGGCAAGTTTTTATTTTTGCGGAACTAGTTCATTTGAAGTACTCAACTCTAATAAGAATTGAAGATCAAAGGAATTGCAAAAAAATAACGCCCGTTTACCTGGTAATAAAACCACAAACAAATTTTTGCAATTGCTAAAAAACAGGTTTGCTTACCTATACAAATATGTAAATGAATACCCGATACTTAACGGCAGTTTTTGCAGTTGAGCGTAGAGCGTCGGCTTATCATCATGTACAATCCTAATGAGAAAAACGTAGATTTAGTGCGTGAATATTTTCCCAGTTATCACACAGTAAGATTCCAAGATCAGCCGGAGCCCAATATCGCTGTACAAGACAATTTTCTGCAAGTGACAAAGCAGCGTAAGTCTAAGCTAAATACAAATTAGCATATGTTTTCATTAACATGTCTTATCAACTTATCAAAAAAGATTCCGACGAACTCACAACCAAATATGGCATCAAAGTTCATAATTTGCGATATGGAGGCTCGGATGATCGACAACTAGTCGATGTTTTCTATAAAGACGGAGCATCAGAGCCCTCGCCGCTCTTTGTTTATGTCCATGGCGGCTATTGGCAAATGCTGGACAAATCCTATTCCTGCTCCATTGTTGCTCCTCTCGTGCGTCGTGGCTATCGCGTCGCCGTCATGGACTATAACAACTGCCCGCAGGTAACTTTGGAGGAGCTGCTCGAGCAGTTTACCGCATTTTTGATATGGATTTTCGACTATGCCGAGCAAACGCGAACTACGGAGATTAGTTTTGCGGGTCATTCAGCTGGTGGACACCTTCTGGCCCAATTGCTACACATTCCGGCCCTGATTTCCGAGGAGCGACGCCAAAAAGTGCGCGTCTTGTTCTTCATTTGCGGCGTTTATGATCTGCGCGAACTTTGGCAATTGGAACCGGTCAACCCCAGCAATATTTTCGGACTGAACGCAGAAAGTGCCAAGCAGCTTTCGCCCATGCTGTGGCCGTGGCAAGCCGATAGCTCATCCTGGTCTGGCGTCCAGTCGCATGTTATATCGGCAGAGCACGAGAGCGTCACGTTCATAGAGCAAAGTCGCGCTTTTGCCAAGAAATTGCAAGATGGCGGCTTTAACGTAACATTTAAGCTTTTCGATAAGTACGACCACTTCGATATTATCGAAGAGACTGTCATCGATAACTCCCCGATAACCACGTACCTGCTGGAGGGGCTCCAGGCTGCTTCGAAACAGTAAACAAAGTTGATCAAAAATGTAAATTAAAATTAGAAAAAAAGAAGTTTATTACTTTAAAAATAAAAAAATGTATAACACCTGTTAAATAGAAAATGTTAGCTGAGAAAATAAAAACTGTTTATAATCCAATCCTAAAAAAAGATAAATAATTAATGAAACCGAAAAACTGGGTGACTTATTTTTAATTTTCATTTATTTCTTATGTCATTAGTGTTTTTTTAAAACATACACTTAATTAATAGTAGTTGCATTTCATATTTACACTATCCAAGCATTTTTTGCGCACGTAAAAACCTTAGGATATAGCACAGCATCCACAAAGTGCTGCATAATATGGAAAATAAATGATACATAATATATGATACATAAAATACAGATGTAATTCAATTCACTGAATGCAAAACAACGTATAAAGTAAATGGAAGTATAACAAACTGTGCGCTATATGAGATAAATAAATAAATTCTAACTAAAAACATAAACTAACATTTTGCTGATGTGATGGAAAATGGTGTAACGGTAGAAAAAACATCTATGATTCCTCATCCGAAATGATAATTTCTGTGTCTATTAAGATTTGTTGTTTCTTTTGCTGCTGCTGCTGCTGCGGCTGCTCTGGGCTGCTAATGTTGCTCTTGTTCTTATTATTGTTGTTGTTGTTTTTGTTGTTGCTACTGCTGGCGTATAGAGTGGCATTTAGACTAGAAACGGACATGACCTTTAGCGTATGGGGAGCAGATGCATCCTTTAGCTTGCCATTGGGCAGCGTCTTGGCAGCCGCATTCTCATTAACAATATCAACATTAATATCATTATTTGCAACCTTGGGGCTGGACTCAGCAGTCTTGACTCTCGTTATATTATTAACTATCACATGAGCAGCCGCCGCGGCAGATGTCTTTGGTGCTGCATTCGCTTCCGTTTCGGACTCTGCATCGCTTATTTCGCCATTTGCTTTGAAGTTGTCCACAAAGGCATCGACATCCTCATCCGTTTCATCATCCTCATCCTCCTCATCGCTGTCGCTCTCGTGCTCGCTGTCCCGATGCTTTTGTAGGCCATTGGTCAACACGATTTGCGCTGTTTGAGCCTGCGCCTGGGCTGCTTGCGCCGCCTGCGCGCTAGTGCAGGGCTTGTCATCATCATCGCCGGCAGCTTTGGCTGTATCATTGGCCGTCGTCGGCGCCGCTGCTGCTTCTGCTGCTGCCGCTGTTGCCTGTAGCTGTTTCTCCTTGAGTCGCGCCTCGCGCTGCTCCTCTGTGGTGAGATCCTGCTCGCGCGCAAATCTGCAAACGGTTTTCGGATTAGCTGGGTTCAACAGCACCTACAAAAATATACACTCACTTTTCCAGTATATCACTTATTTTAGTTTGCTTCTTGTTGTTCTCGTTCAGCTTGGCCAGTAGAGCGGCATCCGAGGCCGCCGGATCCTTGGCATTGGCCGTAAAATGTGTGACGGTCTCGTAAAGATCAGTCTTGCGCCTCGCTTGCAGCAGACGACCCACCTTGACGAAGGCATCATGAGCTGCAAAGTGGAGTTAATTATAGAGATTAGATTTGCATTTAAAGATCAAAAATAGATCCATCCTACCTATGCGCTTCATTTCGAATGTAGCCAGGCCCAGATTCTTCTCCTTATTGCAATGCTCGAGCAGCTGGAGCACGTCGTGGTAATCGGGAAATTCATGCATGCGATTGACAAACGCGGAAAGTGTGCGATTAAATTGCGGATATGGTGTATCCTTAAATAATATGGGCTGCTTCATCTGGCGATGGGCGCTTTTACTTTCACCGGTTAGATCACAGATTTTCTCATAGATCTGACAGGCGCGCTTCTTGTAGCGCTCCACCTGCAGATAACTGGAATCATCATCGTCATTCCAATCGACATCCGCCTCCTCCAAGGCGCTAATACGTTTCGTTATAGTGTACAATGTTCGATTGAGTTTCCGGATGCGCTCATCGCTGCGTTTATTGCCCGTGCTGGGTGTTGTTGTCGGTGCTGCCGCCGGAGCTGGCTCCGCTGTCTTAATCTCAGCTGCTGTTGCGGCTCCAGCTGGCGCTGTTGCTGTTGCTGTCGCTGGAATTCGCGCTGCTGCCTTTTCTTCAGTCGGCGGCGCCTCGTCCATCGGCAGCTCGACAACCTTGGCCTTGCGTCGCACCTTCAGCTCATCGACGATACACTTGAGATGCACATAAATCATATCCGGCTCATTGCGCATACGCTCCATGGCCTGCTCCAATTGCTTGCGAAAGCCGCGCGAACGCACAAAATTCTCATGCACACTGTAATAATATTTCAGCAATTTAATCTCAATCAGACGCTCCATGTCCTCCGACTTGTCCAGCTCGCGACACAGTTGCAGCAGTGCTGTATACTCCGGCACGAGGGGCGCACGTGTTGCTGTTGCAGCTGCTGGCGAGGCTTTTGCCGCGGACACAGCTGTTGCGACTGGCGCAGCAGGTGGAGCAACTGCAGCAGGCGGCGTCTTACGCTTGGTCTGCTCATTTTCCACTTTTTCTGTGGGCGGCGTTGTTGGCGGCGATTCCACTAGCACTATGGTGGGCGTGGAGTTCTGCCTATCTTTTTGCTTCAGTTCCTGCAGCTGCTGCTGGGCAAGATGCCTGCGCCACTCGTCATCCGACTTCTTGAGCACCGTTATAGGCTGCACGCGCTTGGCTGCGGGCTTTTGCACAGGCGATATGCTGGCGCCGGGAAATGTTATTTTTGCTGCTGCTGCAGCTGGCGCTGCGGCCGGCGGCGGCGTCGTTGTTGGCGTCAGCTGTGGCGTTATGCTCGTGGTGGGCGGCAGATTGAGTAACAGCGGCTCATTCAGCGCCGCAGCACAGTGCGGAGGCGTGGCTAGCAAACGAAGGGGCGGCGTAGCGCCAGCCGTCATGGGCGTGGAGGATGTTATGCTGCTGCTGCTGCTGGGCTGCACGCTTCGCATGGCTGTTGTTGTTGCCGTTGCTGTTGTTGTTTTCATTTTGTATGGCAACGTGCGGGCTGCACTGTTGTTGTAAGCGGGATTGGACAGCGCCACATTCAGCCTGCTCAGCATAGGCATTGGCGTTAGCTTCGCCAGCTGCGGCGGCGTGCTGCCTGTCGAATGATGCGCCGGCGGTGGCGGTGCAAGCGTTGACGTCGACGTCAACGACAGCTGCTGCTGCTTCTGTTTGTGCACCATCACGTTGCTGTTGCCACTGTGCGCCGGCGGTGGCAGCTTCTGTGCCGGCGATGGCAATTGCCCGGCCTTCGGCTGCAGCAGCGCGGGCGACGTTAGCGTCATTGTCGACGGCATCTTTTGCAGTGTGGGCAAACGCTGTGCTGCTTGCGGCTTTAGTTTAACGGGCAGCTTTTTTGTCAACGACAGCTGTGGACCTGGCAGAGCCTTCGGCTTTATAAGCCGCGGTTGTTGTAACATTGGCTTTTGTGGCGTCAAGGGCGGCGTCGGCGCTTTCGTCTTTTGCTGTTGCTGCAATTGCAATGGCGACATCGATGTGGACGGCTTCTGCTGGTGTTGCATTTGCATGGGCGTCGACGTCGGCGTCTTTTGCTGTTGCAGCTGCAGCACGGACGTTGGCGTCGACGGCTTTTGCTGCTGTTGCAGGTGCAGCATTGACATCGTCAGTGTTGGCTTCGGCTGCAGCTGCTGCTGTTGCTGCAGGGACGTCGGCGTCGACGGCTTCTGCTGCTGCAGTAGCGCAGTTTTTTGCTGCCCCAACGTCGCCGCCTTCTGCTTCATCGGCGCCTTGTGCAGTTGTGTGGCGGTTTTTTGTGCCGCTTTGGATGTCAGCATCTGGGGGATGGGTACACTGGTGATTGTTGCCATTGTGGTGCCAGTTATTGCCTTGGTCCAGTTGCCACCCGACAATTTAAATGGCTTATTATTCACAGTATTGTTATTATTATTATTGTTGTTGTTATTGTTGCTGTTGCTATTATTGTTGTTCTCCAGCGAGATTTTCGCAGTGGACATGTTGAAATTGCCGTTGCTGTTGTTGTGCTTGGTAACCGTTATGCCGCTGGGTATATGCATGGACCTATAAGAAAAAGTTCTTTTGTAAGTTATCGATAACACAATTTTATCACTTTCAAAAAGCAAACCAATGTTAACCCGTTAAAAGACTATCGATTTTTGCAAAGCGATCTAGGGCTTGTTGTATAAATTAAACAGAAAATCGCCATAGACTGGCGCAAGATTATATGTCGGAGTCAGATGGAGCGGATCACTTAATAATCATATTAATATATAGCTACAACTCAGCAATTGTAAACTTTACTATACCCCTTAACAAAAACTCGGTACCTGTAAGTTCCTACTATTGTTCCGGTTCCTGTCGCTGTCGTCGTTGCAGTTGGAGTTGCTTTGATGCCAGTGACAGGCGTTGCAAGAGACGCTTTTGGTATATGCAACAGTTTTGTGGGCAGGGCTTTCGGCGTGGACATCCTTGCCTGGTCACGACGCGCTCGCTTGACATCAGGTGGGCCCTGGAGACAAACGAAGATTATATTAAAAAACGACCTGTTGGCTATTGCATTTTAAATTCCATTTAAAAACAAAACAAACAAACAAAAAACGCCGCTGCAGCTGTGTGAGTAACAATGCGTGTAGAGTTTTAAGGCGCGCCACTGAATGCAGTGTAGAGTTACATTTATTTTGCCTAGCCATGTAAACAAATGTTAAATCCGTAACAGTTAGCAAATTGCGACGTAAATTGTACACTAATGTCACATAAACACACCCACACATGCATGACAGCTGGTTTTATTTAGAATAATTAACATTTCCAATTACTCGCTCCAAATGCAGCAGTTGCTGCTGCACACGCAGTGGCAACACTGGCAGCATTGGCTGTGCAAGTGTGTGCGTGTCAAGTTGCTGGTGTGCGTCTGTATATGTGAGCAACAATAAAAGCAGCGCGAAAAAGATATTCGTACACATAATTTGTAATATACACACACAAGCACATATGCACATATAATACATATATAGAAACACGCACGCCACACTAATAAGCGCATACCACTGCACAAAACCTATTAAAAATACAACTGTACTTTTCTACACCAGCTGAACGTTGGCGATGTCACTGGCGCTTTTACCTCCTCCTCCGAATCCGAGCTCAAATCCACATATATAACCGAAGTCATAGTCGAATAGCACTTAACACTAAATTTTTATTTGATGCGTCGCTTTTTACTAGTTTTTCTTGACATTTGGCTTAACACACGCAACTGTTATTGTTGCCAGCTAGTTTTTCACGCATATATTACGTCTGTGTCTTATAATTTGATTTCGCCTGTGTTTGTATTGTTGCTTTGCGTTTGTTTTCGCAGGCTAGGTTGCTTTGCTTTTTGTAGAGTTCTATTGCATACAATGTTGCCATATCTACTTCAAAGATTGGCAACTCTTAAATTAGCAGTATTACTCCTGTCTTAACAGATAGCGATCGACTATCGTAAATCTATCGATTTTATATAACATTAACAGCATGTTATTGGCATTACGCGCTCATTTTGCGTTCTCGTTACTATATAGTCCTAAAATGGTATTGGGTAAATAGGTGGAATATTTAAATATAAATGGAACTGCGCCGTATAATAAAATTTTATTCCTAATGAAAGTTCAAGCGTACTAGAGAGCAAATAAAAAAAAACAAGAATTAAGAATCATACAAAACTCATATATTAGTTGCAATATACAAAATTAAGTCATAATATTTAAATATGGTGAACAAAACTTACAATTTATATCGATATATCGATATAATATTAACATCCCTAATACAATGTTAAGAAACGTCAACAGACTGTGCAAATGACACGTCGTGCCTACTTCGTACAATTTCGTTTTCCTCTACGTCGTTCATTCGGTTTTCGTCAGTTGGAGCGGTCGTTGTGTCCGCTGAAGTGTTCCCCAATAGAAGTAAAACTTTCTAAATTTTGTGTAGAAAGTGCAGCAATACAAATCATAAGTTTAGTTCCCTGCCGTACGTTACATTAAGTCAAACACAATGGGAAGTAAGTACAACGCCAACAAGTTCAAGTGCAATTTGTTCGAAAGTGCCGGAACGCTTGGCAATAAGCGGCGGCCGCATCGGCAACACCCCCGTACTTGCTTACGTATACAAAAAAAAATGAATTTGGGAATTGATGTGCCAGTGCCTCCGCCGCTAATTGTGTGAAGTGCAGGCTCAAAAACACTGCAACGCATTCCAATCAGAGCTTACAACATTATTGGTTTTCATTCATTCATTTGCAGTCAAATTCCTGGAAGTTATCAAGCCCTTCTGCAGTATACTGCCTGAAATTGCAAAGCCCGAACGCAAGGTGTGTATAAGTATTGATTAAGAATATATTTCTTAGAAATAGTTTAATTAACGTGGCAAAAGCTGTGATTTATAGTGTATATATGTTTTTTTTTTGGGTTTGATTTGTGCGTTTTCGTATCGTATTCGCTTTGCTGGGCGCCAGTGTTGCCAGCGCACGCGTTTTTTTTTTTGCTTTCACTTGTCAGTCGAATGCGCCACGCAAACAGTTTGTGATTTCGTAGTAGATACACGGAAGCACACAAGTTGTTGTTTTATATGCATACATGTATATAATGAAAATGAAATTAGTTTCAAGTTTATTAGCTGGATTAATTGTGTTTTGAGAACTTACTGGAAATTGAATACTTTTACTTAGCATTTGGTACTAAAAAGTTATGAAATGTATGCAAATGTGCAACTCTTACGCTTGCTTTATTTGTTTATTGTATGTTTCTGATTTCATTTGCTATTTTAAATCAATTTTTCATTCATAAAACGCTTTAAACAAAATACTACTATTCTTATCAAATTGAAGTACTATTTTTTTGACTACTTGTTGCCGTACTACTATTTAACAAAACTTTGACAAGCAATGCAATACCGCATACGACGTGTAACGTCAAACTTCGGCTCGCACGAAGCAGCCACACGACGCTATGCTACGTCAGCCTCGTGTTGTTGTGTTGTCGCGACCATATGATGAGCCACGCTAAGCAGAACTGGATTTTTTGTTTAAACATTTACACACGTACACACATGTAGGTCAGAGTAGCGGTAGTTGCCGACTATGTGGGCCGTGACTTATTTTTGAAATTGCATTTAAGCAAATTCAGGGAAATATATTTTTATAATTTTTTTTTTTACCAACAAAAAACAAACGTTAATAAAATTACATTAATATAAATAAAGATTTGTAATATTTGAATAAATTTCAATCAATTTTTTTTCCTATTTTATTGCAGATCCAATTCAGAGAAAAAGTACTATGGACAGCCATCACATTGTTCATTTTCCTGGTATGCTGTCAAATTCCATTGTTTGGCATCATGAGCTCCGATTCGGCGGATCCCTTCTACTGGATACGTGTGATTCTCGCCTCGAATCGTGGTACACTTATGGAGCTGGGCATCTCGCCCATTGTTACATCGGGTTTGATAATGCAGCTATTGGCGGGTGCCAAGATCATTGAGGTCGGCGATACGCCCAAGGATCGTGCTCTCTTCAATGGTGCACAGAAACTGTTTGGCATGGTCATAACGATTGGACAAGCGATTGTTTATGTGATGACCGGCATGTACGGTGATCCATCGGAAATCGGTGCCGGCGTCTGCCTGCTGATCATCATTCAGCTGTTTGCTGCCGGTCTCATTGTGCTCCTGCTCGACGAGCTGCTCCAGAAGGGCTACGGCCTGGGCTCTGGCATTTCGCTGTTCATTGCGACCAACATTTGTGAGACGATCGTGTGGAAGGCCTTCTCGCCCACCACTGTGACAACGGGACGTGGAACAGAATTCGAGGGCGCTGTCATTGCTCTGTTCCATTTGATGGCCACGCGCAACGATAAAGTGCGTGCACTGCGCGAGGCATTCTATCGCCAGAATCTGCCCAATCTGATGAACCTGTTGGCCACCATCTTGGTATTTGCTGTCGTCATCTATTTCCAAGGTTTCCGCGTCGATTTGCCCATCAAGAGCGCCCGTTATCGCGGCCAGTACAGCAGCTATCCAATTAAGCTGTTCTACACTTCCAACATTCCCATCATTCTGCAGTCGGCCCTCGTCTCTAACTTGTACGTCATCTCGCAGATGTTGGCTGTTAAATTCCAGGGAAATTTCTTCATCAATTTGCTTGGCGTTTGGGCCGATGTTGGCGGTGGCGGTCCAGCCCGTTCGTATCCCATTGGTGGCTTGTGCTATTATCTGTCGCCACCTGAGAGTGTGGGTCACATTCTGACCGATCCCATACATGCGCTGCTCTACATTGTCTTCATGTTGGGCTCCTGCGCTTTCTTCTCCAAGACCTGGATCGATGTCTCTGGCAGCTCAGCCAAGGATGTAAGTTTAGCCGACCCACAATCTCGTTAACAAATTCTTTTTACTTACCCATTTATTGTTTACTTTACTAGGTTGCCAAGCAGCTGAAGGAGCAGCACATGGTGATGCGAGGCCATCGTGAGAACTCGATGATTCATGAGCTGAATCGTTATATTCCAACGGCCGCTGCATTTGGTGGCCTCTGCATTGGCGCTCTATCTGTTATGGCAGATTTCCTGGGTGCCATTGGCTCTGGCACGGGTATCCTGCTGGCTGTGACGATTATCTATCAATACTTTGAGATTTTCGTTAAGGAACAATCCGAAATGGGTGGCATGGGCACGCTGCTGTTCTAAGCAGTTGAATCCAAACTTTCAACATGAAATTATAACAATAACAGCTAACAATTACTTCATCATACTTCTCACATGTCAGCTCGCTTTGCCCCCGCCCCCGCCTCGCGCCTACCTATTAAGCAAATTAACGTTTTTGTATGGTTTTTAAATTCCACGATAGGGCCTAATTTTAAGGCTATTTGCTGCCGTTTAGCTGGCCTGGGCAAAAATCATTGTTTGTGTTAAATGCGACAAGAACTTTAGTTTGAATAGTTTTATTAGTTTGTATCATAAAAAAAATGTGAGACTTTATTGCTTAAGTTCAATATTTCGCTGAATTGATTGAATTTCAATGCAACCTATTGTTTTTACGGAGTGTAATATAATTATAGAACATCGATTACACGTGGAATTATTAAACATGATGAATTATGAGTACATGAAACGAACATTAAAATCACGCAACATGCATACAAATTGTCATAATAATAAAACGTAAATTAGATAAACTTTTTTAATTCAACAAGTGCATTTTTTATTAACAGAAACAGTTATTTTGTAAATGTGTCTAAAAGAATATAGTTGAGCAACGCCTTGTCGATAAATTGTGTTTGCAGTTGCCGCGTAATCAAATTTCAAAACTATCGGCATCAATATTTCACTTTTTTGGCACTATCGATGTATTTTTAACATAGCGAAGCTTTTATTATATTTTGACAAAAATATTAAGCATTAACGATTGCATCTTTCTTTTTCATATAAATATTGTTAAATTCATATGCGGTGTATATGCTGTTTTATAAAAACCAGCTATTTATTTTTGCATATACTTAACAATGTTAAAGAACGGCTATCGATATCATCGGCTTGATTGTCAATCATCGCTGGCAACAACAAGAGGTATCTCGGCATTAATAGAGTCTGGTCTCACTTTGTATCGCATAAAATGGAAAAATAATTATAAATAAAAATAAGCAATTCGACACAGTTTAAACAACATAAACGCAACGCACACACACACTAATGCGCATTTACGTACAAGGAAGGATAACGTTTACGTTGATTTGCGGCAAGCGAGCTGTGCGAAACACAACCGAAACACAACAAAAACAATATCATCTGGAGGCAATATAAATAGGAGTTGAGTTGCCATGTCAGCTCCACTCACACGAAATGTACCGTATTTAAAGCAGCAGCTAACCGCATTGCTGCGCAACACATCTCCGGTAATAACGCTCATCTGTTTGGTGACCACCTTCGGCTATTTGTTATCCTTTTCGGAAAAGGCTATCCTTCTGTTGAGCGTGACGCCTGGCTATATTCTGCCAAATGGAAAATTTTGGATATGGACCGCATTCACGTTCTGCTTCATCGAGCTGCACTGGTGGGAGGTCATTGTCGACGTGGTCACCGTCGGCCTGTGCGGCAAAATGCTGGAACCACTTTGGGGACAATTCGAAATGTTCAAGTTCTTTGCGCTCAGCAACTTTGGCGTCTCACTGCTAACGACCATCTATTACCTGTTCTATTATATGGTTACCAAGAATCCAACCATACTGTTTGATGTGCACATCCATGGCCTGGCCGGCTATGTCGCTGGAATTTGTGTCGCCGTACGGCAGATTATGCCCGATCACCTAATCTTCAAGACGCGCTACGGACGTCTAACCAACCGGTGCGTATGTCTTACCTAATTGAGTATTACCTTTAGACCTTAATGTATTTCGAAGCGGTTAACCTTTTCCATAGTATCATAAAACATAGCTCCCTAATTGTTGAATCACAAGTTTCTTACTATATAAGATATATTTGTAACGCTTATCTTGCAGCAATGTCCCTCTGACGGTGCTAATCTCTGCTATTATTGGCTGGGCCATTGGCATGCTGGACGGCACGTATCCGGCCATGTTTGCCTCCGGTGCTATAGTCTCCTGGATCTATTTGCGCTTCTATCAGCATCATCCGAACGGACGTGGTGATAGCTCTGAGAGCTTCACATTCGTCAGCTTCTTCCCAAATGTAATGCAGCCGTTCATCAGCGTTCTGGTAAATCCCATTTACAATTGCTGTTTGCGTGCGGGCGTGGTTCGAACGCCGACGCCGCTGCGCACGATATCGACAAGTAGCCTGACTTCGGTCTCTGTGCAAATGCCCGGCGTGGATCCGCATGATATTGAGCGCAGGCGGTAAGCTATTGACCCTATTTATTAACGAATTATAAAACTCATGTTTATGTTTAACAATCAGACAAATTGCGCTAAAGGCTCTTAGCGAGCGACTAAAGGCCACTGACTCGACGCGTCATGCACAGCTGCCCAAGTCGTTTCCTCAGCAGCAGCAACATCACCAGCAGCAGCACAAGCATCATAGCCACAATCATGGTGCCGGCCACAGTCATAGCCATGCGGCTGGACATAGTCACAGTCACAGTCACAGTCCCAGCGCTGGACACAGTCATAGCCATGCGGCTGGAGCGGCGCAGGCACCGCAGCCCGATTTCGTAAAGCCTGCGGCACAGCAATTGCCGATTACAACGGCGCGTGCCGAGCCGCGGATGATCAGCACGATGAGCCCCATTGCAATACCTATGCCCGCGCCGCCGCCCAAGGATGAGCAGCCGCCGGCAGCGACGGGCGCAGCGGCTGCGCTCATCGATTTGGATGATGCGTCAAACTAGACAGTTTATATTTTAACATAAATGAATTTTTTGGATATTGAAATGATCTGCTTATGATTATTTTTGTATGACTGTAACAAGTGCGCTCCTTAATTGTATTTAACGTTATTTTGCTTAAATTAACATACGTGTAGATTTCTAATTGCTTGCTTGGCTAAACCTTCTTCACTGAGGCAACGCCCCTGAAAGCGCAAGAGGAAACCTTCCATCAATGTAGCGCCTATTGTAGTACCTACATTCATGCATACATATGCAAGCAAAATTTCTGTTGTAGTGTTTACATGTATTGAGAAAAACCAATGCTTTATTTAGTTTATAACATTACTGTAAATATATTTAAAAGCCCAAAACAAATTGATTTGAACTTGTCATACACATGGCTGGTATGCTGCTCACACATAATATGCGCTTAATTTAAAACAACAGCGTATGCATGTGTTTTCGGCAACACGCTGATAAATACCAAAAATCCTTTTAGTATTTTTGTGCGGGTTAAAGTTAACAGAGGTTTCATTTGATTCATGTGTGACCATACTTTTAAAATACAAGTGGGCTGGGTTGGAGGAGTGAACGTACTTAATGCAATCTAAATTATTCTTCATATTAAGGTTACACCATATTGATGACAGTGTAGTAATATCATGATTGTGTTCAATATTTCGTATGAACATTTATTAGTGGCATGCAATTTGAAAAATACCTGCGATAAGTCACGGCGATAGTTATCGCTCATCCCAAGTATCGATTCGCCCATTGGATTCGCTTGGGGCGATTGACCGTCGTGTTCGCGTTGTATTTTTTAAGTTTTTTATGTACGCACGTCATTTGTTTTTAATTACTGAGCAGATTGACAAGTTGACGAACGATTGTCACGCACCAAATAATAAGAAAATGTTGCTCTAAAAGAAAAACAGCCAAGTGCAAGTGGCTGGGTAAATACTGCGTGTGCATAACGCGTGCCTTTATAAGTTACGTTCAGCCGAAATGGGTCTTAAAAGCAACAACAGTGCACAAAAACAACAGCACACAAATTTCCTCCCGCACCGAAATGGTAAGTTTCATGTTCTGATAAGAGCCGCGCGAGTCAAGAAACAAAGCGAAGCAAAAAAGGAAATCAAAGCGAATTATAGGTCATAATGTAGCAGAAAAATATTGCAGTGGGCTCGCCCGAACCACAGTAAACAAAAATCCACCTAATCGACACACACACACATACTTAAATTAATGTGTGTGTGCTGTGCCGTTTTTGGCGCTTGCGGCAGTTAACGCGTCAATGTGTGTGTTTGTGTGTGTGAGACAGTGTGTTTTGCGGTTTATTGCCAACGTGTAGTGCAGTCACCATTGGCATCAGCGTCGTGGCAAAAAACAAACTACAAAAACAATATGCAAAAACCAAATCCCAAGCAAACCGGCCGACAATTGGAGTCGGTTTTTGACAATTTTTGGGCGCATTTATGTAAATGCCAAAATCGCCTTCACCCCGTGAACTCCTAGTTCACAAGCTAGTTTCGCATTAAATGAAACCGGTTTCCTTACACAACAGGAACTCCAACTGGAATTCCAACTGGAACTGGGCTAGTGCTACATATGTACATACATATGTAGTTCGCCCTTAAGTATTTCTGGTTCTTTGCTTTGTTCGAGCTTTTACAGCGTTTACTTTCACTTTAGCTAATGTCCAGGGTCGCTTGGTTTTGCATTTGCAACTTGGGTGTAAAATATTCTGCACTCCGAATTGTGTTTGCAACAGCACCACGATCGAGGCGATATTATATTAGGTTGAAAATATTAGCTATATATATAGTTTGTTCTCAATGACTAACTGACTGAGCAATCAGCCCGAACCATAAAAAATAATTTTAACAGTTGCAAATTATTTAAATTAAGTTTTGAAAAGTTTCCCCTCAAGAGTGAAAACAGATGCAAGAACCCTTTTGGTGTTTTTTTGTTTATTTATTATTCTATACTTATTTGGGGAATGTATCAAATGATGTTGATCTTATAACATATTTATTTAATTTGGCACAGATGTTAAGCGCACAACGTAGGCTATAAATACTAAGCACAATCGGTCAGATTAGATAACAATATCACATTGCATAGCCCATATTGAAAGTATCTATTTACATTAAATCTATTAGTATCGACTTCCGTATCATATAGTTGGAGCTTAAATATGTTGTGCATTTACAATATTGGACTAGGAGATAACCTGTGCTTAGGGCAATATTGCTCTAACATACATTCTTATTTATATTAAATATAAACAAATAAGTAAGTGTGCACTTCCCCAAATATTAATATTTGAAGGGCTGGCAATCTTGTCAATGAGAACAAAAGAAACTAGAGGCCGGATTAGAGTGAAAGAAATAGGTATACAATTAGTGAGATAAGAAAGAGAGATAGAGTATTAAATATTGTGAGAGTATGAGATAATGCTTATTGGATTGTCAGCGCAACTTGTTGATAAAACACTTTCAAACAAAGCATGAAAATAACTTACTTGAATTCATGAGATCCGCGTAGCAGGGTCGTACTTATTTTAAAAGCAAAACAACCCTCCACATTAGTTTCCCATTAAGGTACCCATTTAAAGATCTGAAAATGATTTTTAGGTTTCATACAGCGGAATTCAAAGGGATTTATTGGCATAGTTTAAATTATAAACTGTTGCTTTTTTATATGTATTGCTCAATGGAAAACTCAGTTATAACTTCCATTTATCATATAAGAAATCCCTTGAATGAGTTCCAAAAAGTATTAAATACTTGTACTTCGTTTCTTTTTCTGATTTTAACAACTTAATGCAGATATTATGTGCAGACAATATTTGTACATATGTATAAATGTGACTGCAAACACGTCAAAACACACACCAGCACTCGCGCGCACACACACACGCACACATTCATCTGGTTGTTTACACACATGCGCGCCTGCCATTCAAGCGGCAGCAGAAAAAGCGTCAACGTCGCAGTCGCCGTCGCAGTCGCCGTCGACGCCGCGACGGACGACAGCTCCATATTTCAAGCAAGAAAACCCACCGAGTGCGATGGATTGGCGCTCAGTTGGGCATTGGTAGCCACATATAACGGTTCGTGTCTTTGTTAGCTACGTTTCCGTTTTGCGCTATTATCAAAAACGAAATATGTACAATTTATCGCGCTGAACAAACACAAATAATAAAGCAAAAGAGAGACAACGATAAAAAGAACTACTTGCTACTTCATTAACAACAAAAAAAACATAAATAATAAACATTTGCCAGCTAATTGCCACTACACCCAACACCACTGACTCCCCTCTCTCTCTCTCTCTTGATCTCTCCCTCTCTCTCTCTATTTCACCACTCTCTCGGCACTCTCTCCCGCGCTGTTGCAACAGCAATCAAAGCGACACTAGCAACAATGACAGATCAACTGAACGAGCTGCACACGCGACTTGCCCAGGTGAGGCAGGAGCATTTGCTTAAGTTTTGGCTCGAGCTCTCGGAGGAGGAGCGCACCAAACTGGCGCGCGACATAGACGAGCTCTGCCTGGACGAGATCAAGCTGTATTGGGATCGTGCCACCATCTCGATGAATGCGAATGGCATCAAATTGGACGGTCGCCTGCAGCCCATACCCGACGGCCAAATACTGTCCACGGCTCGCACCACGGAGGATAAGCTGAACGCCTATCGGGAGGAGGGATTGCAGCAAATAAGCAACGGCCATGTCGCTGTGCTGCTCATGGCGGGTGGACAAGGTGAGTTCATTATCCAATTTCTGGTTAAAGGGGGTTTTTGGGCTCTTGCAAAGATAATGTATATAAGATAGGAGAAATATGAGGGTAAAACAAAACACGTTAAAAGCCAACTGTGGAAAATTTGGGCCCTTTTTTTCTTTTCGCAAACTATCGAAACTTTTGTTATCAACATTTATGTATCAGAAATGATATTGAACAAATCAAAAGGAAATGAAGAAAGGACTACAGAAATAAATATAATGGATATATTTCAGATTATACAGAACTAAAAAAAATGTATCTAAGGTACAATCCAAAAATCAATCCATTGGAAAAAACAACTTTTTTGTAGTGTTTTTTATTTTAAATTTTAAATATACTAGATAGATTTATAGAAGACAAATTTAACATCCGATAAAACTGCATTTAACTCTTGAAGGTTACTTGGAGCTGTTTTTCTTTTTCTGTTTTAAAGAAAAACAAGTTTTATTTATAGAGAGAATCTTTATCAGTAGTTCTGTATATGGCACATATTCAACATTTAATTCTTAGATAGTGTTTATTTTCTCGTTACATTTACGCTTGCTTGATAAGTATCTGTAGATACGAGATACTATTGCTGGGCCGGAAACTGCAAAAAAAAATATATATGTATATATATATATTATTTCAGTTTTTTTTTGCCCACTCATAGCTATAAACTATTTTAAACAATTTCTGCTCGCAATTGCCTTGAGGTGCAATGAACAAAATTCAGTATTAGCAAAGACAAAAACAACAACAACAATGCAGACCTGCAAGTCTCTCAACGTCTTTGTGTAAGTGTGTAAGTGTGTGTGTCTGTGTGGGTAAACGGCTAATTAGATTGATATAAAAATGCTCCATCAAACCAACGCCACATACTCGCGCAAATGCACACACACACACACACACACACACACACACACATGTGCCCACTCATGCAGCCGCATGAAATTTCTTGTTTGTAATTTTTAAATTCAGCTTGCCAGACACGTCACACCAAGCGGGCGGCGAACCATCATAAAGTAATAACAGTTTAATCCATTCTTATGGCCAGCCAATCCAGTCGCCAGTGTTGCTCAGTTTCAAGTTGTTGTTGTTGTTGTTTTTGTAGCCTTTCTTTTGTTTTTGTTGTTCTTCTTTTGCTGATTTTGATCGCGGCGCGCGCGACATTTGATATTTCCCGTTGTATTCAACGTGGCCGAAGCAGGCGAATTTACGTAATGGCCTTTTGGAAATACAAAAACAACAGCAACAGACGAAAAGACGAAAGTCAACATACGCCTGGCTCAGCATTTTATTAGATATATGTTAATGCATACGTAGTTTGTAAATATTACGTAGTTCAGGCACGTAACGTAATCGAATAACGGTTAAAATTGTAGGCGTTAAGGCTGCAGATCGCCCCCTAAATTATCGATAGCAACAATACTGCTAGTACCTCGTTTGGCCGCAAATAATAATAATCGATAAGCGGGCTATAATTAAAAACCGGTAGTGTGACGTGTGTGACCTTACGACAGGTTTATAATATGCTAAATAGCTACAAGAGTGGAAACAAAGATTTAAAAAAAAAACAGAAGAAATCGTTTATTGAAAGCGAAACCAAAGCCGAAACAAAAGCAACCAGTTTTAAAGGTCAACCGGCTGGGCGCACAGCAAATAGCAACACAAAATGTATAAATAATATTTCCTGCATAAGATCTGAGCTTTGTGGTTTTTTGTTAAAATATCCTTTGTGGCAGAAATACTGTTTATAATATAAAATAGCAATAAATATAAATGTAAGAAACAAAAAACAAGGAAGAGTATGTTTAAAAAATTGTGCACAATAATTTTAAAAAAAATCATAAGTAACAGGAATACCATTTATACCAGCGATAAATTAAATTAAGGTTACATGAGAAATTTTTATATCTCGGCAAAGATTCATTTATTTAGCCGTAAACTGTAAACAATTAAGAATGTCAACAATCTGACCTTTACAGGCACACGACTCGGCTTCGATCAGCCCAAGGGCATGTACGATGTGGGACTGCAATCCCGCAAGACGCTATTTCGCATACAGGCGGAACGCATCCTGAAGCTGGAGCAGCTGGCCGAGGAGACGTGCGGCAGGCGAGGTCGCATCGTCTGGTATATTATGACATCGGAGCACACAATGCAGCCGACGCTGGACTACCTTGAGGCGAACAACTATTTCGGGCTGCGGGAGGAGAACGTGGTGCTCTTCGAGCAGGGCTCGCTGCCATGCTTCGATAACGATGGCCGCATCATATTGGACGAGAAGCATCGTGTGTCGCGCTCCCCGGACGGCAACGGCGGCATCTATCGCGCCATGCAACGCGCCGGCATCCTGGACGATATGCAGCAGCGCGGCATACTCTATGTGCATGCGCACAGCGTGGACAACATCCTGATCAAGGTGGCCGATCCCATATTCATTGGCTACTGCGTGCAGGAGCAGGCCGACTGTGCCGCCAAGGTGGTGGAGAAGTCGGCGCCCAATGAGGCGGTCGGCGTGGTGGCCATTGTCGACAACAAGTACCAGGTGGTCGAGTACAGTGAGATCTCGGCAAAGACGGCCGAAATGCGCAACGCGGACGGACGCCTAACGTTTAGCGCCGGCAATATATGCAATCATTTCTTTACCGTCGCCTTTCTCCACAAGATCGGCAGCACGTACGAGCGCAAATTGAAGCTGCACGTGGCCAAAAAGAAGATACCATTTGTGGACAATGCCGGCAATCGTCTGACGCCCAACCAGCCGAACGGCATCAAGATTGAAAAGTTTGTCTTCGACGTCTTCGAGTTCGCCGAGAAGTTCGTGGCCATGGAGGTGCCGCGCGATGAGGAGTTCAGCGCACTCAAGAACGCCGACTCAGCTGGCAAGGATTGCCCCAGCACGGCGCGCGCCGACCTGCACAGGCTGCACCGCAAATATATTGAGAATGCCGGCGGCATGGTGCACGGCGAGATCTGTGAGATCTCGCCCTTTGTCAGCTATGCTGGCGAGAATCTCGCCCAGCTTGTTAGTGGAAAATCCTTTAGCGGTCCCGTTTATCTGCGTGAATCCATGCAAGGTAACCTCTAGATCACCCCCCCCCCCCCTCCACACACACACACACACACACACACACAGACACACAAACATACACATATGTACATATGTACATATAGACTGATAAATGTGGATAGTTTCTGTTAAAAATTTGGTTCAGCTAGGTCAAAGAGCACGAAAATTCCATAGTTTTCAGTACTTAAGAGCAACTACTCTATAAATTTGGTTGCCTTCTTTTTTTTTAGTTGTTCTCGTCTTTGTTTATACTTTTCCATTATTTGTGCAATCATAATGTGAATATACCTATATCTAAAAAAGAAAATATACAATATATGCATATTTTTTTTGAATATATTAAATACAATTTGGAAAACTTTGTTTATTTTAACTGGACTTGGGTAGGGTATTCAAATAGTTTGCTTAAAGTAGGGTTTCTTCGCAATTATTCAGCGTCATCTCCCAACTCCCCTCCTCTAGTAAATAAATATAAATGTCTTGAGGGTTTTTTACTGTTAATTTTCAAAATATTCTGATAATTTTATAATTGTATATTTATTGCTCACAAACAAATGCGGATTCTAATTTCTAACTTCAGCTAGCTTGTATTATCGAGCGACTACTGTAGTAGGGGAGTTGTAATAAAATCGAGAAAGAAGAACACACCGAAGATTTAATACCCTTGCAGACGCCACCTTTTAATAATGCTCAGAGGGCTTTGCCCGTATCTAAGAAGCAAAGGGAGGTTAAGATATCTGGAAAAAGTTGTTCATACAAGAACCTCATTTTCGACCGACCTTTCCTATGTCAGCTATATTATTATATAGTAGTCCGATGTAAACAAGATTTTGCATAGATGTAGGGAACAAGGTGAAACTTATAAATGGCGAGTTTGGTCAAGATATCTTGAAAGTTTTCAAAAACAAAAAAGTTTTCAATACAACTTAATTTTCGACCGATCCTATGGCAGCTATATGATATAGTGGTCCGATCTTAATAGGATTTTGCATGTATATGAGGAACATAGTAAAACAAATCAAGATATCTTGAAAAACAAAAAGGTTTTCCATACAACTTAATTTTCGACCGACCCTATGGCAGCTATATAATATGGTGGTCCGATGTAAACAAGATTTTGCATAAATGTAGGGAACAAGGTGAAACGTATAAATGGCGAGTTTGGTCAAGATATCTTGAAAAACAAAAAAGTTTTCCATACAACTTAATTTTCGACCGATCCTATGGCAGTTTCGATATATGTAGAAACAGACAGACGGACAATGTTTTATCGACTCGGCTGTTGATACTGATCAAGAACATATATACTGTGGAGTCGGAGATGTCTCCTTCTATGCGTTACACATTTCACGACAAAATTATAATACCCTCTGCAAGGGTATAAAATCTGCTACTATTTGTTTTCTATAAACACCCATTAGATATATTTAATATATGGTAAACAGTCTGAAAAGGATTTAAGTATAAACCCAATTTGTTGTTGTTGTTGTTGTTGTAAATCTATAAAATAAATTGAAGTCGAGCTTTATTTAAGAATACACTTAATGGATGGCACAACCTCCTCGATCCAGTCGATGCAGATTTCGGTCACCTGGCGCAGGAAATTGTGCTCCGTTTGCACCATTTCGGTGAAGAGGATGCACTGCGGCTTGTATTTGCCGTGCAGCACGCTGGATGGATGAATCTTGGCCTTGACACGCCCGCTGAGCGTTAGGTAGTGGCCCTCCTTCTGGAGCAGGGCGATGTTGTCGAAGAGACCCGTCAGCAGGCACTTCTTGACCGCATCCGTGTTGTCGCCGCAGCTGTTGAAGGCCAGATTCAGTCGGGCGCTGATCTCCGCCAGCTGGTTGCGCACGCTGCGCGCATAGTTTAGATTGCGTATATTGAGGAAATTGTCGTGGCACCAGATCTTTGGCTTATCGGTTTTCTGGAACGTCCCGAACACGTTGAGCAGTGTCAAATGGTCGCCGTGCTTGGACTGGAACTTGGCGTGCGCCAAGGCGGCCAGTTCGCTCTTGTCCGTGTGTCCAATGAACACATTGTCGCTGGACAATGCCGCCACCAGGCTGAGCATCTCCTCCATGCAGCCGAATGTGGGTGCCGCGAGCAACAGCTTGGCGTATCTGGGGTCCAGTGGATACTGGGCCATCCAGCGACCCGTTGTGGTAATGTTGGGCGCAGCGGCACCCAATTGCTCCAGGGCCTGGTAGGCGCTCTGTACGCCCTCCGGCTGTGGGGTATCTATGAAATCGAAGCTGGCGCAATCGATGCCCAGCGCGAGCAACTGCAGCACCGTGGCAGTCAGATTGGCGCGCAATATTTCCGGCTGTGCGGCGCTGCGGAACTTCTCCATGGTGGCCTTCGTGTAGGTGCGATAGCAGACACCGGGTGCATCGCGGCCGGCGCGTCCGCTGCGCTGCCAGGCCTGTGCCTGCGAGATGCGCACGGTTTTGAGCAAATCCAGACCAGAGCTGGGATTGAACGACTTCTCCTTGACAAAGCCGCAGTCAATGACACAGCGTATGCCCGGTATGGTAATCGAGGTCTCGGCTATATTCGTCGCCAGGACAATTTTACGTGTGTTCGCCGGCACGGGCAGAAAGCATTCCAGCTGCTTGCCCTGGGCCATCTGGGCGTAGAGGGTGAAGACACGCACATCGGAGGGGCCCGAGTTATTGATCCTGGCCAGCTGGCGGATTTGCTGGGCCAGCGCATCGATCTCCTCTTGGCCGGTGAGAAAGATCAACACATCATGATTGATGGGCTCGTGGCGATGGATATCGAAGAGTGTGACCAGCGCGGCGTGTATGTAATCCTCCTGCGTCTCCTTGGCGTGCAGCACACGCACCGGATGCGTGCGCCCCTCCAGATACATGCCCTTCACATTGAAGTATTTGCCAAAATGATCAATGTCCATCGTGGCCGAGGTGATAATCAGCTTCAGCTTGGTCAGCTTGTGCTTGCGGCGCTCCTGTTGCGCCTCCTTCACAATGCCGAACAGGACATCCGCATTGACCGTCCGCTCGTGCGCCTCGTCCAGCATAATGGCCGCATACCTGCGCAGCAAACGATCCGCAATGGCCTCGCGCAGCAGTATGCCATCCGTGAGATAGCGTATGCGCGTCCGATCCGTCGTGGTGTCCTCGAAGCGCACCGTGTAGCCGACGGTGTCGCCCACGTTGGTCGCCAGCTCCTGCGCCACGCGCTTCGCTATGGTTATGGCCGCCACACGGCGTGGCTGGGTGATGCCAATGATGCCGCTGCTCGCGTACCCGGCCTGCAGCAGGAATTGTGGTATTTGTGTGGTCTTGCCGGAGCCCGTTTCGCCCATGATCAGCAGCGTGTCGTTTGCCTCCAGCTCCTTGAGTATGCGCTGCCGGCAATGGTAAACGGGCAGCGCCTTGCGCTCCTGCTCGATGCTGCTCTTCTTGTTGCCCAACCCATTGTTTTTGTACGGACTCTGGAGCTTGGTCGGACTGTAGTTGGGCTTCTTAATGCAATTCTGTTCTTTCATGGGCTCCATTTTGCGCTTGACGGGAAAGCTGGCGGCCAAGCTCGGATTGCCATTGCCATTGATCAGGTATTTCGATTCCATGCTGCGCAGTCTCTTCTGCGGGAAGTACAATGGAAAAAATGTTGTAAAGTTGTTTTGTTTGCGCAATTGCTGCGCGCTATTTGCGCTGTAATTAAATGTGCTATCAATTTAAAAACACTTACCCGGACATGGGCTTTACAATGGCAACTTTATCGCGAGGTAAATATTGGAAATAACTATAAACAAGTGCGTGTGTGTGTGTGTGTGTGTGTGGTAATTACAGGTGGGGACAAGCGCTCCACGCTTGTGCTTTAGTGATGAGCACAGCGAAAATGTATCGTTCAAGTGGAAATATCGATAGCTGAAAGCTTGTGTTATTTGTTAACATATCTGCTATCGATTATTTTGTGTAGCTAATGTTCATTAATACAATTTCATATTCGTTAGACACGTCTAAATAACTGGATTATAAAATATTATATTAACACTATGCTTTGCCATAAGATATTAAGTATTTAATTTGTATCTCAGACTTATAAATCTCGTTTTCACACATTTGACTATGTTCGATTTTATTTAAATCTTGTATATGCGAGATGTTTTTATTATGTTATTTAACAAGCTAGAAATGGAAGGCCTGGTAATAGAATTGCGTATGTTAACTAACATAATAAACATCATCATTTATTTTAGTCCACTTCCAACAATACCCCTCCACTATAATATTTTAGTTCAGTGTGTAGTGCTGCCCATCATTTACAAATAGCGGGAACAATAACTTACTGTGGGGTAACTCAACTTTTACCCACTTTACTGTATATAGTGGTATATTCTGACATTCACCTTTTGTATGTTATTGAAATGTGATATTTTACTGTCTCTCACTGTATTGAATTTTTGTGCTGCGCCTCGATTATTTTTGCATTATTTCCTATTCCCTGTATTTTAATTCAGTAAATAGTGGGTGTACTAATAAAACATTTTTAGATCACGTACCCCACTTGCAACCACGATCGACCCACCAATACTGGGACTAGTTGCAGTGATATACTCGCCAAGTAACTGTTTAGTACAGAAGGCACATCTCAAACTGCCCGCGTTTCGCGCTGAATGACAACTGAAACAGCTGTTTTCGTTTTTTCATCGGTGCGTATTTTCCACAACATATTCGAAGCTCGCAAACATTTAATATTATTTAACTTAATTTGTAGCTTGTGAAAAAGAGCTGAAACAAAATGGTTGCCGGCGGCGCATCTGATACGGGGGGCGTTAAGCCCATGACCATCGCGGGCCGCATGGTCCGCGAACGCGAGCGCCTCATTGGCATGACGCCCGAGGAGCGCGCCTGGCGCAAGCAATGGATCAAGGACCAGGAGCTGCCCCACGGGCCGCGCAAGGTGCCAGCTCTGGAGCTCGAGCTGAACAATCCCATCAGGCGTTTCTATCGCGCGCCTTTGGATAAGGTTTGCAGCGTTCTAACGCCGGCGCTGGTGGGTGCAATTTGTGTTATGTAATCAAAAAATGATTTTATTTTTAATTGTTTGTCAATTTCTCTACCGTTTTTAAAGGGCTTCCAGCGCGCCTACACAGTACGCTACTGGACCGGCAAGGCGCTGATCGCGCTGACGGGCATTTACGCCGCCGCCTACTATTTAAAATATAATCAGAATGTGAGTGCGCCAAGTGTGGCATTATATTCAGGTCCTCACCCAATGCCAATTTTTTGCAGGATTGGACACGCAAGGGCGGCTGGCGTGTGATATCCTCGCGCAAGGCGTGCGTGCCCGGCGACGAGGGCTATCCCCGTGTCTCGGATCGCTCGGCGCCCGCCGACTACGCGGCGCGCGGCTTCCAGCAGTCCCCGATCTAAGAACTGTGCCACACACTCCCGAGATCCGCTGCCAGCGCTTTGCTTAAGTTTGAAACGTCTTTGAATTAATGTTAGCAAAAACCAATTCGCAATAAACATGGAACACAAACACACACACACAAACGGGCTGTAAGTGTATTAGCTGCAGAGCTTTGTCCATGGCAAATGGGCAACCATTTTTTTTTGATGCCCTTGCAGAGGGTACCTTGATTTTCTCATTAAATATGTAACGCAACATTTACGACATTAAGCATTTATATTATGTAAGACCTATTTGTTTCTATGCATATACTAGTCTCTCAGTTTTCAATTCTTGTCGGAGTCGGATACACTATATCATATATTTGACAGAAACTATATAATCTGATTAATATTGTACAACTGGTTAATATAGCTGCTATTGGAACAGTTGGTCGGAAATGGAGCTGAGAACCTAGCTGTAAATATCTGCACACGTTTCAAAAATCTTCTGTAAGGGTATTTGATCTTCGGTTACTGTTAACTGTTATTTCTTGTTTCTGCTGCGTTTGGCAAAAATTTGGTTTTGATTTTTTTTTTTTAACTCTGGAGCTGTTTAAGCACTTTTCAGCAGCTGTGCTCAATTTCGTATTATCGGTGCTTTTCTTTTATTAAAGATTCTCCAGTTGTCGAGCGTTAATTCATTGCGCGGCGTCAAATTTGTTGTTTGTTTTTTATGGATTCCAAAATTAAACCTATTTTGATTGAAACGCGCGCGCTTCTCAACTCCCAAAATAGGCGGACATCTCTTTGATTGTGCTTCAAAATCGTGCTCAGTTCGTGAAACGAATTTAAAACAAGAAATTAATAACCTTTTGAGCCAGTTTTATAAAATAACCAAAATAAAAACAGTTAAATAACATGAATAGAAAGCGTTACCAGACTATTTCAGAATTTGAAGCAGGTGCAATAAGCTTATAATTATTATACTGGGCTATTAATTATAAAAAGTGTCGTGTTTTTAGAGCAGAGAAACGTGAAAACTTTAACTATGTGCTAGTTAATTGAAAAATAGTTAAATTTTAAATTGGCCCGCTGGTGCGTGGCATTCAATGTTTACATTTTTCGCCGCGAATGGCAAATGTTCGGTGTGCTAAAAGAAATATCGCTTAATGGTGAGTGCAGTGCCAGAGTATCGATCATCACTAAGAAAATGCTCTTTTTTGTTATCGCTGTTCTCTCTTCCACTCTGCAACGGCGACAGCGCAGTTCACTTTAATTTTGTGAAACTCAGCCGGAAAAAGGTTTGATGGTGGTCCTGAAATTGTGGATCTAATTGCGCCAAACACACGCATACACAGGCGAACTGGATTTTCGATCGCATTTGGCCTTGACTGGAGCGTGTGCCGGTGTGGCAAAAAATACAATAAAAAAAAAACCCCGAGCCCCGAGAGTTGTCACTGTGTTTATATGTGTGCGTGTGCAATTTATATATTTTTCATCCGCGTGGAGCGCATTGGAACACACTAATTTTCTGTGCTAACTGTGCGCGTGGCTCGCTGCCCCAGCATATAGCGAGTACCACATCTCACCTAACCAACCCCCAATGCAACAACATCATCCACAACAACAAGAGCAACACTTGCCCGAGCACCGAAAGTCTTCATCCGGAACAGGTGAGTGAGCAATTGTCCGCTAGGCAAGTTCAAAGCTCCGTATTATTAGCGGCTTCACTTTTGGCTACGTTCTTATATTTGTTGTTTTTCTCTTTGTTGTTTTTGCAATTCCAATACATGCGATGCCGTTGCTTTTGGTTAAAAAAAAAAAATTTTTTCTTAAATTTTTTTTTCTGCCCTTGCCTTGTGTTCTACGAAAAAATTGTGGCCGCCGCCAGCGTCGACGTTAGCGTCGCTGTCAACGTCGCTCTCGCGCTCTCCCAAGTGGTCGCTCAGCTCAGCTGTCATTTTGTCGTGAGAGCGCCTGACGTCGACGTTGCTTCCCGCGCGCGGGAAATTCACAACTTTGTCCATTCATAACTTGCCCAAATTTGCAATGATTTTTGCATATTTTATCAAATTAGATTCTATGTGTTTTATCCAATCCAATGCATATGCACAACCATATGGTTTAATTTAGAAAAACGTTACTAGCGGCCGCCGAAGTTGGTGTCAAAAAAGTCAAAATTCGACGCGCACAAAACAACAAAGTAACGATGTTTGTTTGTGTTGTGAGCGGCGTTGCCAGCAGATCGTCAGATTGAGTGTGTGCAAAGTCTGTAAATGTAAACAGTCAGCGAATTGACCCATTTAGTTTATTTAAGCGTAATTTGGAAAAACATAACTATGTTGAGATGTGAAAAGTATATTTAAATTAAATATTGTAAGGATCACGCGATTTCATTGACTTAATAGCTCTTTATGTTGATGTAAAAAATCAATTTTGTGGGTTACCGAAAGTTGATCAATACATCGAAATATGCTATTTAAATTTGAAGAAAATGTTAATTTTAACGTCTTCTGCCCTATTTTTTAGTACATCTTTCTCTGCCCAGGTGGCAGCTTTAACAGCTGTAGCGCGCGCAACGCCCGTTAAACGAGCGCCACAAAACAGCTGTTACACTCGGTCACACACACACACACACTCACATAGTGTTCAACCGCCTACTTGGCGGTTCAGAAGGAGCGTCACTTGCTTCAGCTCCATTCAATAATTCGCAGCTAACTCCTATATAAGTGTTTGGTAAGGGGCGTTGAGGGGGTCTGCAAGCTCCTGCCACACGCATTCCACTACATTGCCTCTGCCTGGCTGGCATTTTTTTGCGCGCGCCAGATGTGCTCTCTTGCGCTCGCACTCTCCGTTTGCTTTTCTCACTCTCTGTTAAATGTCAGTTGGCCTTACCAACAACAACAACAACATCAGCAACAGCTACAACTTGTGCCCGTGTGTTTGTTGCATTTTTTGGCGCTGGATGTGCTTGCTTTGGCGCGTTTCACATGCACACACATTGCCTGCCTGGCTGCTTGCCTCTGCTGACGCTGGCGCTGACGTTGACGCTGCCGTCGCTGTCAACGCTTGGCTCTCTTTTTGATTTAGCTCTCCCTCGCCTCGAGTCGTTCGCGCTGCCTGAACACCGATCTTTTTGATCACTGCTCAGCTGCTGCTTGATGAAGTTCGTGGCCGGCGTGTGACGACGTATAAAAAAATATTCATTTTTTCAAGTGCAAATAATATTCTATTACCAAATGCAAATCTTAACGCCTTGAAACGCATAGCATTGAGCACAATAAGCGCCACAAATTAAAGGTAAAAAACTACGCCCCAAGAGCCGTAAAACAGCCAAAAGAAAGAAAAAAAAAATGTGTAAAAATTACGCGTGTGACAAGTGTGGGATATAGCGAATGCCGCTAGTGTGCGAGTGTGTTAAGTGTGCGAGCGTGTGTGTGCGACTGTGCCGTCGTGTCTTTGCATTTTTTTCTACAAAAACAATAAGCTAACGCACACAAAAACCGTATTATATATTCATGTGTATATAAGTTAGAGACGTTTGCCAAATTGTTCTTATTAGAAAATTTGCAGATTGACTGCCCGCTGCAGACGGTAACCGTTACGATCTTATTGGGAACATTTATTGTTGATGCATGTGTAGCGTGGGTATGCATTCGACGAATTGGATAAAGGTTTCCGTTGCTAATTGGAATTAAAGCTAGGTTCAGTGAACTATTGCACCGCGGCATTGTTGAGGTCGCATGCCAATAAGCGTGCTCGCAGCTCCAGGCTCATTTGACCCCAATTGGATTGGCAACTCCAAATTTTGACAATTTTTCAGCTGCTATGAGCAATCGCCTACACATACACGCACATTAGCAACCGCACACCAGCCGGCGCTTTCTAATCAATTCGCATATATTTTGTGGTGTCGGTCGGCGATTGCACTTTTCCCGCCATTCGAATAGATTTTGGGCGGTAAAACAAAAATGCGCCAACCAAACGCCCAATTCGCGCCACTTTACTTGTGTTCTCTTCGGTTTTATTTTCCCCACAACCAATGACACACACATACACACACACTTAAATATGGACACGCTCCCCGTCTGGGAGCCCGTATGTTACGCTCTCTCATCTGCACGCACACTATGAAATGCGCTCTTCCGTTTTATTCCAATCAGAATAACGAGAAGACTGAAGCGTCGCTGTCGCAGTTGGCGTTCGCTGTTAACGCCGGCGCAGTTCTCTGCGTCCACTTTTTCTTTCACCATTCTCGACACAACAACAACAAGAAACAAAAACTTTTTAGTACATGCTACGTCGCCGTCGACGCCGGCAGCGCTGCATGCTTTTGAGATATGCGCCGACGTGAAAAGCTCAAAGCAGAAAAAAAAACATCGAATCGAACCTTTTGAAAACTTGACGAAAACGAAGCAAACGCGCAAAGCGTAGAGCACAAAAATAAAGAAAAAATAAGTAACAGACAATGAAAAGAAAAAAAAAAACAAGCGAAGCAACTGAATTATGTCAAAAGTGGCGCAAAATCTGTTGGTAGTACGTGTGTGTGGTTGCCGCCTAGACTTTAAGAATGGGGCGAGCGGGTGGGCAGGTGGTGATATTGCTTGGGGGTCTAAGCCACGGCTCTGCTGCTACCGCGGCCTGGGGTTCATTGATATTTGAGAGTGTGTGTTTGTGTGCGTGCGTGTGCGTGTGTGTGTGTGTGTGTGCGTGTGTGTTTTAGCAGTTGGTTACTTTTTGTTATTTTGTTGCTATTGCTTTATCTCTGCTTGTTTCAAATTACCTGCTACAATTTGTTCATTGTTTTGTGACTTTCTTTTTGGCTCTTTATTTTGCTATATTTATTGCGCTCTTTTGCATTTTGTTGTGCCGCTCTTGTTGTTTTCTTGAGGCTTTTTGCGTCTTGCTTTTGTATTGTTTCTGACGTTTTCTCAATGTTTTGTTGTTGTTTTATTTTTGCGAAATATTCTTTATGTTTTATTATTATTCATATGTTTGTATGGCGGAGGGCTGTGCAAACTGGCTATAGACACGAAAATAGGCGTTGGGCAGGCGCTTTGGCGGTTGCGTCATGAGTTTTTTAATATGTATATGAATACATGTTTTTTCATACGTACCTTAATTATGGCTTTACGGTTTCTTAAGTCTGGAAAAAGCTTGGATATTGTTGGATTTAAGCTAAGGATTAGGGAGAATTTGATTATTTATTCATTTTAAGCTAAAAAAAAAACAACTTTCTTGGCGTGGTCTTAAATTATGGAAAACATTTATAAACTAG